CTAAACTTCTCACTTCGACTTGTGCGAGATAGTTTTGAATTCTTCTATTTCCTTGGCCTCCACATTTTATAATGTGTAAATAAATTACGTTCTTATTTGACTTTTTTATTCAACATCGAAATGGCGACACTGATGTAAATAACTGTTTATCTTATCTCGTCAATGCGTGCACTATTAGGGGAATCTAGATAGTCTGTTTAATTTATAAAATAATCAAGTCCACAATCATTAACTGGCTATCGAGAAGTTCACCTAATTTACTTACACACGCTAGCTAAAAGTGCTAAAATATTTTATTATCACTTTACTCGTCATGAATTCAAAAAGTGAAATTGCACTAGTATTTATTTATTTAAAAATAATTTTTAATAGATATTATACAAAGACATGAGTATAATTACTTATTTGCCTTTAAAAAGCTTTAATAAACTATACGATAGATTTATATTTTTTATAATTCGTTCAAAAGGTATATATATAGATTTATTGGAAATAGAAATGAATATTTATTGAGAACTTTGCGAGAATAATCTATGATTTTGTTATAACAATGCGATTCTCCATTCCGGTATAAATAAAGCTGTGACCCTCTAGATACTGCTGTAGAGCACCCTTATCATCGTTCTCCAATAAYTCAGTGAACTGATCTTGCTTTTCGATGAGATTAAATCCATCTCCGCCATTCAGAAGAAAATCGGTCACAATAACGTTGTAGAAATCCGTTTCATTGAGTTTGCTRTAGGATGGAACACTGCATTGGGCACAGAGTACTAAAGCGGAAGTTACTCGCTGTCCCTCAGGCATATCGTAGTTGTACTCCACACGGATGCCAGATAATTGTTGAAAGCCGCCGTTGGAGTCTTTRTTCCGAACAGACGCTGAGTGCTCCAAGGCATTGAGCAGAGTCTTTCCGCTAATGCGTGTTACAAGCAGACGGTTCTCAAAGGGAATCGTATCAGCCATGTCTCTAAAAGTWATAGAGCCATCAGCAATCTTTTTGATGGAAGTGCGTATGCCTGAAATGTGTTGGATTTTATAATAGGAGAACCATCATTGATTTATCTACTACGTAGTGCGTACCACCACCCGCAATCAGAGCAATGGCTGCGTCAGTCCAATACTCGCCGCCCTTGTTTTCCAACATTCGAGAGTAGACCATAGAATCAGCAATTAAGTTACCCAGATTACATTCTCGCAAGCGACAGATACTACCTCCCTCGAGATGTACCTTAGTGTGACCTATAACTTGCTTTCCTTTGGCCGTAATATTCGGACGAAAAGTATCCAGTAAATCCAGCATATCTTGCTCCTGCGCAACTGAAGCATTCAAAAGAATTGGCTCACCAGCGAATTGAATTAAGTTTCCAAACGCATCGAACTGTGCTCAAAATTTCTGTTTAGTATAAGTAAATCGAATGAAACTTTAGGTATTACCTTAACTTGCAACTTGCCCAAATACTTCGTGTTGGTGTAGGCCTGAACCACAGGCACCTTTTTACCACTCTTCTGAACCACTGTGGTGGGATAGGGCCCTCGCACTGCTTCTGGATTGGCATCATTCTTGTCTGCAACAGGTTGATTGGCATCTAAATAGGTATGCGAGTGACCACCAATGACTATATCAACATCGGGACAGTCTCTGGCAATTTCCTGATCCTTTTGGTATCCTGAGTGACCCAAAGCAATGATAATGTTAATCCCCTGTGCCTTTAGCTTTGCAGCCTCAGCACTTGAAATGAATCAGTAAAAATAGTTAAAAGCGACAACTGGTGTATCCTCACTTTATGGATGTGATTTCCTCATTGAATTCTACTTTGTTGATGTAGTCCTGCTTTGTTTTTGGCGTCAGATAACCTATTACGCCAATTTTAGTCCCGTTAATCTCTAGAACTGTAGAGTTGCTCAATTTATTAGTGGCAGCCAGGTCGGGCTCCTTTGAATAGTCCAAATTCGACACAACAACTGGAGAGTCTACAGCATTCAGAAATGAGACAAGGCCTTCGATATCCTCATCAAATTCGTGATTTCCAAGACACTAAACACGGCAATTGTTATCGAACAGAGATTATTGTGGTAGTCAGTTAACCTACCAGCACATCCGGTTGAAGTTTGTTGAGTAAAGTGCTAGCAATTTTATCCTTGAAGATCGTGAACCAAAGAGTTCCGGTAAATGTATCACCTGCATTTAAGTATAATACGGGATTACCGCCATTCTTTGCCTCCTCGCGATATTTTCGCACTCTGAAAAAATGTATAAATTTGTAGATATACAAATTTAGCAGAAGTATGCAGCCAACCTTACACATGTGCTATCCTTGCGACGCCACCGAAGCATTTATTCATATTCGCATCTTCCTGAGTGCATACTGCGCCATATTTATTTGTCTGCTCGAATCTTGCGTGAATATCATTATTGTGGATTATAGTGAACTCAGTAACTTGATTGATTGAGTTTTCGATGGGATTCGCGCGAATCAATGCAGCAAATGCCATACAAAATTCAAAGATACACAATAGCCTCATTTTGAAACTGAAATGAAAAATCTCAAGCTTTAACTCGATTACACAATGCTAGCTCAGTAACGTCTCAATTTTGCTACGGCAGTCAAGGTGATCTCAAATAGACTTTACAGATGTTTCCTCTCATGGATACAAGATAAGGTTGAGCCAATGAAAACCCTTTTACGATTACACTTTATATCTAAATCACATTTACAATGAGTTTAGCTTGCAAATGATTAAAATAAATAAATTTAGCAAGAAAGTCCCCCTAGAGTCATTGGCACTTCTCAGTCAGAATATATGAGAATCTGAACAAGATCACACAACAATTAATATAATTAAAATGAAAAGAGTGCTACGTACACTCCCACTCTCGCTCTCTCTAATGCTTGCATCATCTGTAGGCTAGAGTAGAGTCTTAATACAACGACAATTGCTGGCAATATATGCAAATTTTCGTGTATTTTGATGTATTTAAAAATTGAAAGCTTTCTATGTTGTCTCAACCTAATGACATTGTCTTATCTGTTGAGCGTGCGGCTAATTCAGACTTGATAGATATTTTAAAGTATCCACAAAGAACGTTGGCATTACAAGTATAGACAGTGTGCCTTAGACTTCCAATATATGTATCTCAACTTAAGACGTTTCGATGCACTCGTCCCTCGATCTGCCAGTAAACTAAAATCAAATTGTTAGAAAACATCTTTTAAATCTGCTTCAATCTCTTTCTATCTCTCTCTCTCTCTCTCTCTCTTTCTTTTGCTAAACAGGTACCTCGGGCGATAAGTTTGCTCTATTTGTTGGAAAGAGCATGATCTGATAATGCCAATTGCTCAATGTACGGAAGCTTAAGTCTACCTCTCAACATTTCCAATTCATTTGAATAATCACCAATTAACATATTGCAGTTAAATGTGAATTCTCAGAATTAATTAAAAATTATATTTCATATATAAATAAT